TATGCTATTTACATAATTTACTAGACGATAAAGATAATTTCTTCCAAATGCAGTTCTAATCTTACTGATACATACATAAGAGAGTATGTTGCTTGAAGAGATGATAAAGTGCATTTCCAGTCGTCTACTGTGTTTAACGTGCTTTACCAGTAATATGGTAAACATTTTTGTTATGGACAAAATTTAATTGTTGCCATTTGGGTCGTGGGAATATATTGATACCGAAATCCATAAATTTCAAACGTTAATTATTGGGCTCATTTTCTGAGTCCAATCTGATGTCTGTCCATATGGTCTAGACCAACACCAAGGTCCCACTTTATCCAAACTCAGACACCACAACGTACAAATACAACCGTTTTTTAAGGAATAAATCTTCTTGCCGACACAGAAAACCGGCCAATAGGGGAAGTCACATCCCCCCCCCCCCGCCCCGGTTTGGACTGGGCCTCGCCTTTCCAAGTAGCAAAGCCTTTTTTAAGTGTCAGGATATCTCGATATATTAACTTGGACAAGATAGAACATTGACAATTCTCTGCTCCACGATGTACAGTCTAGGTGGTTAAATGGGAGGAGCTAGCCCTTGTAGGAGCTTGCCAATTCGTGTACGAGCTGGCTCGTAAATAATAAGTGAAATGCACTTTTCATCAAAAAAATGACGAGTCGGTATGACAAGTCGAGTCCATATTTGGTGAAGAGAGCTGATCACTCGCGTGATTATCGAGCCATCAGCTTGGTTTGACCCATTTAACACCCCTAATACAATTTGTGTTAGAGGATCATATAAACTCTTAGATTGAGTAGTTCTAGGGGTGTAATATTTTTATTGTATAACCATTAACCAGAATAGACTTCCCAGCTTAATTTGATATCCATTACATGCTGTACAAAATGGAGAAGTTTGGATTTATATTTGTTACTTTGTACAAACATTTTTTTTTTTCAAGAATCCCAATATGAAATTATCTTCATTGTATATCATGAATTCATGAAACGTTACTCATTCGTACACGAACCTTAATAAATAAATGTAAGAAAGAAGTTTAGAGGTTGATGTGATTCATCAGTTATGGGGCTGTGCCAGCTGCCGGAGCTTTGCTATGATCGCCGGTGATGGTTTTTGACCTTCCAGCATTCACCTCAATTCTTTTTCTAGTTCAATTAATTCGGCTTTCATCTTGGCCGGTAATTCCTCCCTTTCAGAACCATCCGTCGCCAGCGGCCAATTTCCCGAAGGGACTGTAGAACAAAAAGGAGAACAATATTAGTTGAAAAGATTTTTTACTTTTCATATTCGGCACGACTCATTTCTTGTGTGTTGTTCGTAACTGAACTGGTATTAAGAAAAATGATATTTAAGTAGATGTATACATCTCACACAGTTGAGGCCAAAATATTTCGGAAGAAAAATGAATCCTGGATTCAGAATTACGAGACATAACTCAAGGCAATTGTCGAAGCAGTCGGCTCACCACCAAAATAACAAGAAAAAAGCTCGCAACTAACCGTAATGTTTACATCATTGTCTTGCACTCTGGGAGAGGTTGAAATGATCGTGCAAGGTGAAAGTAAAAGGGCTCATATTGTGACTATTTATTATGTCAATCATGTTTGGTGTACACTTTGGCGTATACCATGGTTTACACCTCGAAAAGTTGCACAAGGCATTGGCGGGAAAGGAGAAGAAGCACATTGATATGTCGGATGAGGATTGGGAAGAGCTAGATCTTGAGGCACGAGCGTCTATCATTCTTTGCCTTGAAAAAGATGTTGCTTTCTTGGTTGATAGTGAGGTAACGGCGGCGGAGGTGTGGACAAAGTTGGAGGCGAACTTCATGACGAAGATTCTAACAAATCGGATCTACTTGAAGTCCAAATTGTATACTTGCAAGATGGATGATGGTACACCAATTCGGGAGTACGTCAACAAGTTTGATAGGATCATATCGGACTTGAAGGACATTGATGTGGATGTAGATGATGAGGATCAAGCACTTCTACTACTTCTTTCATTGCCAAAGTCTTATGAGAACCTAGTACAAACATTGATGCTTGTGGGTGATAAACTTGTGATGGAGGACACTAGAACGTCACTTCTAGCAGATGATCTTCGAAAGATAGCAACTAGTGGCATGTCTACCATTGGTAACAAGGAGCATGCTCAAGGATTGTTTGTAAGGGGTAGAAGCAATGTGCGACCAAAGGGCAAGGGAGAAAAATCTAGATCGAGTTCCAGACCTCTTGCGGAAAGGTCTTGTTTCAAATGTGGCGAGCTTCGGCATTTCAAGGCGAATTGTCCAAACAAAAGGGGTTGGAAGAAGAACAATAAGAACAACAACAGTGGGAAGGTGCAAGTCAAGCAAGAGGTAAGCTATGCCTTGGAAGGAGGGGAAAGCGATGAGTGCTACACCATCTCTTGTGATGAAGAAACCTCCGGCAAGTGGATTCTTGACTCTGGATGCTCTTACCATATGTGTCCAAATAGGAAGTGATTTACTACCTATAGAAGCACTGATGGTGGAACCGTGTTGATGGGTAATAACCATTCTTGTAAAACGGTGGGGCTCGGTTCTATTAGAATCAAGATGCATGATGGAGTGGTTAGAACATTGATGGATGTTAGACATGTTCCTGATTTGCGGAAGAACCTTATCTCTGTTGGTGCCTTAGACACTGGTGGTTGCAAGATTGTGACATGGAATGGAGTAAAGAAGGTGGTTCGGGGTTCTTTGATTGTGATGAAGGGTATTCGTGAAGGCAATCTCTATACTCTTCAGGGTACTACAGTTACTGAAGATGTAGCAGTTGGAACAAGTGGAAGTGGTGGAGACCCATATGAGTGCACTCGGCTATGGCATAAGAGGCTTGGGCATATGTCTGAAAAGGGGCTAGATTTGCTAGTCAAGAAAGGTTTGCTAAAGAACTTGAAAAAGCCTTGCATGGACTTTTGCGAGCATTGCGTGTACGGTAAAGCACATCGAGTTCAGTTCCAGCCAAGCAAACATAGAAGCAGAGGCATTCTTGACTATGTGCACACGGATGTATGGGGTCCGGCTTCTGTCACTTCCAAAGGCGGTTCCATGTATTTTGTTACATTTGTTGATGATTATTCTAGATATGCTTGGATTTATTTTTTGAAGCATAAGAATGAGGTATTCGACACTTTCAAGAAGTGGAAAACAATGGTTGAAAACAGAACAGGAAAGAAATTGAAGACACTGCGATCTGATAACGGTACTGAGTATACAGATAGTGCTTTCAAGGAGTTCTGTGGTAAGGAAGGCATTGTGAGACACTGGACAGTAAGAAATACACCACAACAGAATGGGGTCGCGGAAAGACTAAATCGCACATTTCGAGAGAAATCGATGTGTATGCGATCCTATGCTGGTTTGGGCAGAGAATGGTGGGCAGAGTCGGTTGCAAATGCTTGCTATATTGTGAACCAGTCTCCACATTCAAGGTTAGATGGAGATGTATCTTATAGGGTATTGACAGGAGAACATGCAGATTATGAGAAGCTCAGAACATTCGGATGCACAGCCTACTATCATGTCAACGAGGGAAAGCTTGATGCGAGGGCCAAGAAGGCTATATTCTTGGGGTATGCAGCAGGTGTTAAAGGCTATCGCCTTTGGTGTGTAGAGGATTCTAAGTTCGTAATCAGCAGAGATGTTACTTTTGATGAGAACTCCATGGTAGCTTCGTTGAAAGCCACAGTGCCCGGTGGTGATGATGTTGAGACTACAGTGTCTCAAGTTGTTGACATAGAACCTAGAGATCAACTTGATTCTAGGCATGTTCAAAAGGAGCATCATACAGACACTCAAGATGAGAGTGATGATGCACTTGAACAAGAGGCGGTTCAGCAAGAGAATGTACAGGCTCAGCAACAACAGTAGCTTGCAGATAACTTGGCTTCCTCTAGGCTACGCCGTACTTACAAGCAAGTGGTAAAGCTGGGGTCAAACGAGCCTGTGAGGCACTATGGACAGACGAATTTGGTTGAGTATGCTCTCTCGGTGGAGGATGATGAGAACCCAAAAATTAGTCCGTGTCGATATGCCCGAGTGGCATGGCCCTTCGGGGTGGGGTTGAAATGAGATGAAGAGTTTATGAAGGTGGAGGTGAACTGCAGATGCTTGATCCCGAGTTTTGGGTACGTAGGCAACCATGGTTTGAATGGTGCAGCCGGGTTTGGCGCTTGCTGCTTCTTCTTGTGTTCGTCCAAAATTTGAGGTCTATCAAATGATGTACGAGGTGGAGAATTGAAAGGGAAGAGGTGCAGGGAGTCAGGCGCCATGGCGCCCAAAAGCGTGAAATTTGGATCAGGAAGGCTGGCGCCATGGCGCCCATGGTTCTGATCCATCTTGGCGCCATGGCGCCCGACTCAGCTATTTATATAGCTGGTTTTTCCCTTCATTTTTTACCCCAATTTTTAGAGAGAAAAATAGAGAGGGCTTGGATAGAGTTTTACAAGTAAGAGTTTGTTCTTCTTGGGTATAAATTCAAAGTCATTTTTCTTTCTTTGGGATTAACTCGAGGCTTGTTCAAGTAATCCAATACATTGTTCTTCCAATATATATTGAAAATCATTTCTTCCCCATTTTTCTTGTTCTTCAAGTGGTTTGGAAATTTTTCACTTTGCCAACTTTGTTTGATCTTGGGCAACCTTTGGGAGGTCATTTTTCCAACAAGGTGGGATCCACGCGTTTGTGAGTTCTCTGTAAATATTCTGTCAAGAATAAATATGTGATTTTTCGTTTTACATCCTTAGCTCAATGTTAGTTTTCTATTTATTTTTAACTCATTTTATAAAGATTAACATATATTTGACCAATAAAATGACTGACAAAATTTAGAAACTAATAAAAAAATGTTGAGGTCTATATGTAAAATAAAGAAAAGCTCAGGGGCATGTTTAGAAATGCTCCTGTCTATATATACCAGAAGTGGACTGGTTCTTCGACTTGTTCTGTCATCTTTAAGATCAGCTGATTAAAAAATAAAAATAGAATTCTTGTCGTCTTGTCTGCTATGGAGGAGAGTTTCTGATTAAAAAAAACCTTGCCACTCGAAACTCACGTTTGTTCAATTAGGTTTTTCTGGGATCATTTTTTGTCTGTCGAAGTTATACGAAGAGGAACTTCGATACCTTATTACCATTATAGTTACGACCACTTTTCATCGAGGCCTCAGTATCTCATTCTTGGAGTTGAGTTAATTTCTTCATTTTGCTGTAACTTTTAATGTCTTCTGAATTATTTGAATTTGATAACTCATTTTTCTTCGATTTAGTTTCCCCATTAACAGATATTCCCATTTACCCCCATAGCCATGAAATTCTTCAAGAAAATCCCAACGTTTTGATCCAAGAAAATACCCTATCATTTGATGAAACCAATACTTTGAACCAAATTTCCCGTACCCTTCTTTCATCTTCACCTACCAGTACTGTCAATCTTGAGAATCAATCATTATCCCACTTCGGAAATGAGGAGTGCTCTGTGAAGAAAGAGAAGTACAGAATCCCTTTGGTGGACAATTTTGGAAATTCAGTTATGGCTGAGAGTTATGAGAAGTCCCTGCAGAGGAGTTCTAGTAGTAATTCTCACGATGGGAAACCGAATTTACTGTTTTACCCTCCTGGATTTGATGGCAGTTTGGTGGAGTCTCAGAGTTTGCACGAAAATGTCTTGAATTCACCAGATAGTGACTTTTCATATGGTCAAATCAGAAGGGATTGTAGCACTGGATATTTACAAGTCAGTTCATTACTTCAGTTATCCAAATTTAACCCTTTTTCTACTTTTCCTTTTCTTGATTTTGAGTACATTTACGTATTCTATGACCTACATTTTGATACTTGAGGATTTTTTTTTTGGTCCATATCAAAAGTATGACACGATTTTTGCCCGCTCAAATAACATGTTAATATTATAGGGTTCAACTTTTATCATCGCTGTCACACGATTTTGAAAATGTGCATGTCTAACTTTTACATGAAAATGTTTCTTATATGCATTTTAGTGCACTGTATTAGCCTTTTTTGTTTCTTTTCCCTCGATATTGAAGGCGTAAATTTGTTGAGCTATTAAAGTTGCATTTTGTGCACCACATTAGTCTAAAAATGTGCGTGTATCTCTTCTTACACGAAAAGAAGAATATTGTATGCACTTCGGGTTTTCTTTTCTTTTCAAATTTTTTTTATTATTATTATTTTTTTTTTTATGTACAGGATAGCTTAACAATATAAATTTTTAGACGAACTGATCCAGCATTTGCACATGTAAATTACCTACATAGTTTTTTTCCTAACAATATTGTTTGGTCATTTATCCAATTTTTTCAGAAGATGAAAACAAACACGCAAACAAGAAATGCGTTGTCCTCTAGTCCACTGTCCACAGAGAGATCATTCATGGAGGAACCAAATTTTAAAGTTAGGAGATACAGTGCAGAAGAGAGGAGAGAAAGGATTCATAGGTACAGAGCAAAAAGGACACAAAGAAACTTCAACAAGACAATAAAGGTATTGTTAGTGCTACAAAAAATTCTTATTGTCGATAGATTTGGGCAGATTATGCAAGTCATATTTATGAATATTGGGTTAAACTAAGACATGTTTTCTTTCTTACAAGTATGCTTGTCGTAAGACCCTAGCTGATAATCGACTAAGGGTACACGGCAGATTTGCAAGGAATGATGAAGGTGGAGAGATTCCTAAGGCATCGATGTTTAATAGACATGAAGATGATGATGGTCTTTGGGTAATATTCCTCTCCTTTTTCACTACTTTGTTATATTCAATTGATAATCATGGTGTTGTAAATTGGGCAACTTTAATCTTTGTCTAATGAAAAGGTACTACATGAAATGTTCTTTGTTCTTTTTGAGGTTCTACTCTAAATAAATAGATCCACGAACGACTCCATACAAACTAGATTTTGGGTATAGAGTTGGGTTTTCGATTGATCATTGTTTTAAGGGAAATTTACATGACTTATCTTTAATGTATTTTTCGAGTAATAATTTTGTCAATAATCGTTAAAAGAGAATAAGGTAGTTTCAATGTTTAATCATCTTGCAAGTTTCTCTTAAATTTGAATCATTTTTGTCTTGGTGAACTAATTGTGTAATTATAATAAAAGGTTTAGAATCGACATGTTCTATCTAAAAATTGGTGGACCAACTTGCTTCTTGTGTAGCCTGTTAATGACCAATGGTGAAATTTTCTTTTTATTTAATTTTATTCCCGCGGTCAAACTAACCAATAAGGATCAATTTGTGATTGTAGCTCGATAGAATTCTTGAAGAAGATGATGAAGGAATTATCGGGGGAGGCTCGTCTTTTGACAGATTTGGTTCATCAAAGTATCAGAACTATAGCTATCAATGCTGAAGTTGCTCATGGAAAAAATGTAGTAGGACGATCAAGTACAGTTCACCATTAAGGCATTTTGGAAGCAAAAGAAAAGCAGAAGGCTTATTTCAATATAGTAGATTTAAATTTAAGCAGTTGTTTTTATTTTTTATTTTTCTTTATATTCTCTTTTGAATTATATTTCAGTTTGAATATATCCACAGATTTCGATGAATAAAAACTTAAATATTTTATGAAAATTTTAGATTTTTAAGGGGAAATGAATATATTATTTTTAACACACCGTTTTACGGTAAAATATTGTAAATAGGTGCATTATTTGCCACACACCTTCAACTATTATTATTATTATTATTTTTATTTTTTTTTAATATCTGATTCTCAATTGCATGTATTGAATTTTCTTGTCCATCTCATAGTCGTTATGAATATGGCCAAACATTGACTAACGCAACAAATGTTGTGTTGCATTTAGACAATAATAGGAATGACAATCAAACTGGTACGAAGTTAAATCTCATTTCCCATCCCTGTTTATTCGAATAGGATTGGGATCGAGGTGTTAAGTTATGAAACCTTATAATTATCATTGTGTGTGATGTTGTTGTCAGGGTTGAAAGGGGACAGAAAGCCCCCCTTCTGAAGACCGCAGAGTGGAGTCTACGAACTAAAATTATATTAAAAGCAGTTTAGAAATTTCATAGAGAGAGGTGTTAGAAAAGATAGGATATATGATTTTCTCTTGTAAACTTCTTTTATTATAGTGAATTATTGTAACAGCGGAAGATAATATAGTCACACATCGAAACGAATCTTTATCTCATGTTTTATCTCTCTCTGCAAATTTATTATTCTAGTTGGCAAAATTATGGTTTATAATTCTTAACACGGGAAATCCCAATCCCCGTTTATAATTTTTTATTGTTTATTTTAATTTATGTATTAATTAAAATTAATAATTATATAAATTATATTATATTATAGTTACAAATTCAACTTGAAAATAATGATAAAAAAATTACATTATATTATTTAAATATAATTTTATTAATCGGGACGGTGATGAGACGGGGCGAGACCATCAGCCCATCCCTAACTCGACAGTGATTTTAGCCCCGCCCCCATTTCCCGATTAATAAAGGGAACTCCGCCCCCAATTGCGATCCCTAGACAATAACATGATTAGTTTCTTCTTTATAATTTTATGTTTTCACTTTCTAATTAATTGATTTTTTCCCCCAAATTTGGTAAATTTATCATCTAAAAAATTAAAAATTAAAAAGAATGTCTATAAATGCACTCAACTTGCATAAGATGATTTTTTTATGTAGAATAGTCGAAGAATTTTCTAGCCTAGAGCCTAAGGGATGATTCTTTGTAGTGTTGTCTAATCAATTATTATATTTTCTTGATTATAAAATTTAAGAGCAATGCTATTCATAATCACTTATTACGACAATCGTTTTACGTGACATACACACATGATACTTGTCCTACGTGGCATACACACATTGGCGGATCCACATGGGGTCAAATGACTTCACAGTTTTTTGGATTTTCCTTTTTTTTTTCCCTTTACTTAAAACGTAATTTTCTACCAAAGTAATGAGCCAACCCAATTAATTTCCCTAACCCAATGCCCAAACTCAAATCTTATTGTAGTAGCATATGGTCATATTTTCGCTAATGATATGTTGCTCGAAAAAAATTTCATTTTTGACCCCAAAGTTCGAACTGTTTGGGTCCGCCCCTGCTGATACACATGATAGGTACCATGTGTGTATGCCACGTAGGATGATCACCATAGTGAATGAATGCGAATAACATTATTCAAAATTTAAATAGGAATAATTAAACTCTTGTATTGATTATATTTTGATGTCCACCTTGAATATCTCCTCACCTTTTTCTACTCTATTTTGAACCATAACTAGAGCTATGTTGGTCTCAAAAATATAAATAATAAGGTTTTTTTTTTTTTTTTTTTTAAATGAAGTGATTCGACTCTATCAAATATCTTGTATATGCTAAATAGAAATGCTTGTTTATAAGGATCATATTACAGTGACATAATCACTGACATAATGATTAACGTAATGCCACATGACACTTTATCATTGAATTATTTAAAACATAGTAAGTCTTTTTTTTTTTTTATCAAATTACATCTTTCAAACTAATATTATGTCACTTTATCTGTCAACTACTTTCTGAAAGAGGCGTAACCCTATTTGTAAAGCTAAATCAAACTTATCATAATACATTTACAAACTTGAGCATCTTCGAATAACTTTACCAATAGGAATCTAAAGTTTCTATTATGGCCAAGATAAGACTTATTCTTAACTAGATTCTTAGTAGCTTCTTTCTTATATGTTAAGATCATTTTATCTGTGAAAGCAAATTGGCAAACAATTTTTTCCCCTCCAATTGACACCAAGTAAGGAACATTTCCAAGAAGTCACGAAAGGTGATGCATAGAAAGAATCTATATATCTACATATCTCGCAATCATTTCATATAAATTATTTTTACGATAAATGTTACAAGTGTAAAAAATTATTTTGATTTTTTCCAAGAAAGAGTGATCGATTATTTGCTTTTCATGTCTACGAATAATCAAAATGGTGAGAAATATTTTGAAATACATTTGAGGAATACATAGTTTGTGCCTAAAATTATTTTATAAAAATAGTGTTGAACAACTTTATCTAAAAACTTTTGTTGTTATGGCGGGAGTTACATAAATTCATTAAAATTTTATTTGAATATCATGTTTGGATCGAATTTAATTTTCTATTTAAAGGTAGAATGCATGAAAGTTTTGATAAATAGATGATTCAAGATTTGAATTCAAATCTATGCTCGATTTTTATATAATGTTGAAGCATTTTATTCAAGTTTACAAATGCTCAAACTATTATAAGATATCTGAAAAAATATTTCGAAAATCCGCTTCTTTTAGTCTAAAATTTCCTTTGAATGGTATGTTTAGGAATATTTTTTTTTCCCAATAATTTTATTTTATCTCAGCTAACACTCTACATCATCTTATTGTTTTCGCATATTCCAGTGCCATCTATGTACCTAGCTTCAAATAATTATTTTTTTCTGGGAATAAGAAAAAGAACCACTCAACCTGAACTAAATGCACTTAATCAGAATGCAAAAGAATTGCTTATTTAATTTGCTCATAAGAAAGTGATCGCTTTTGACCACCCCAGTATTGGAAAACATATTCTTTTCTAATTAAATGTCCTATCGTTGCACCACTGCAGATTATGATATGATTGGTTCATTAATTAAAATAAAAAATACTTAAAAAATATTATTGTTGGCATATGTCAAGATTTAAAGAGATTCTTTTGTACAATTCCTCTAAATCATATTAGAAAAAGGTATTGATTGGTGGCTTATTTGATAATAATAATTTTTAAATCGACAATTCACTTGAATTTTAAAGTGGTCGAATTGTTCATGAACTTTCTGACTTGATCTTAATATAATTTAATCTTAAAATTTCAACATTATCGACGAGTAATTTATAGGTATTTGTACGTGGAGTATTACTTTTATATTGCAAGGAATTTTACCTTTTTCAGAAAAGGGATAGACTAAAAGTTTAAAACTCACATGATGCGGCTTCTTCAAAAGTGATGAAGGAGGGCTAAGGAAGGCTGACGACTACATGGGGGAGCTCTTCTCTCTTCCTTAAGGATACTATTTACCATTTGATATCGGACTCGAGCAAGACTTTTGATAGATTTTATGATGAATTAGTGAAGTTATCGGGGAAAGAGGTTTCAATTTATGTTAGACTAGTCATCTTTGCCTTTGGAGCCATTGCCTATATACACCAAAGAGACCCAATAAGTATATCCATGATTTCATTAAGAATTTACAGAACATAATGACGAAAAAGAATGTAAACTAGAGATTGAAAAGTTGTCTCCCGGCATGTCCTTATGTCAATACGAGAAACGACACTTGTATAGAATCTTATTTTCTTCAACAACTATTTTAGATAATTTAATAACCATTATTATGAGATAATCATAAATTAAGCATTGTCCACGAGTGCGATACTAGTTTTAAGCTTATTTTTTGTATTTTAATAATTGCACCTTGCAGACAGGAAAATAATTGAGTGGTTATGATGATGCTACTTTTCATTAATATGGGGAATAGAAAAAGGAAAAACTAAGAGTGTGTTTGATTGACATGGAAAATATTACCTAAAAATGAAAATGTTTTCCATCTTTTGTGGAAAATAGAAATCACCTCTATCCAAGGAAAATGTTTTCCTTAAAAATAGGGAAAATTAGGCATATTTTCAAAAGTTGGAAAATATTTTCCATGGAAAAAAATAGCAATCAAACACTCTAAATAAGAATTTGGGTGAAAAACTGATATTTTCCATGGAAAAATAAACGTAATCAAATACACCCTAAATGAAGTTTCTCTTCCCTCTTTTTCTCTTTTTCCCCCACAAATTCGATTAGGCTATAAATTTATCCAGTGTAATTAATGAAGCGGCTACATATAGGTAAGTAAATAGTCGAATCTTGTACAAAAAAACATTACAACCCCTATGTTAAATCTTATGTTTTTGGTAGAAGAGTTTTCAGAAAAAGTTAGTTTATGCCAGTTTTCTTTAAATAACTCTTTTAATTAGATGACATATTTCCAAAAATTTAGCCAAATAAGTCTAAAAGCAATTTCTTGATCTCAAAATAATTTTTTAAAACTTTTTAAAGTTCAATCAAATGAGCACTTAGTTTATCTTTCGAGAGGAATTAAATTCTATATGTATCGTAGTCCCAATTTGATAAAAAAGAGAAATGAAAAGTACTAATTGAGTTAATTTCATAACATTCCATCTATGCACGGTCTCTCTTTTTTTGGTATAATTCTATTTTATTTTGTTTTCAATTTCTCAAGCTTCTCGAGAAAATCATTAAATAATTGTGCCTGAATTGACGTATTAGCGTGTGTTTATCGTCCAAACACTCTTTAAACAAGTGTCCTTTTTTTGGAGGAAAAGAATAATTCATAAAACGAACTATTTGAAAAGAAAAGAAAAACATAAAGGTGCTTTATAATGGCTTGCAATTGACTAAACCTCAACGAGATTCCAATTGTTAAATGAACTACTCATTCTTCCAAGACTTTTTTTGAT